TCTTCCTTTTTCCCCCTGCTGTGGGGTGTGTGCAGAGCTGGGGTCCTCCACCTTTCCCCACCTTCAGACAAAGCTTCCAGGGTTTCCATGTTTTCTCCACAGGTAGCAGCATACACTAGTGCTTGCCAGGGTCTGGTTCAAACATTTCCGCTTGCCTGAGGAAAGTTGTGCTGCTTCTAGGATTGTGGGGAGGTATTTGTCCTCCAAGGGTTCCAGGGTGTCTGGCCAGGGGGATGTGGAAGCTGTTCAGTGTCTGTGACATCCTGTGTCCCCTATTTCAGTAACATTTAGCTGGTGTGAGTCATAGCGCGCGTGGACTCCTTTATCTCATATAAATGCTTCTTAGGAGGCTTAGATGTTCACATTGCCGCCTCTTGGTTTGGGACCAAGCAAGCATCCTGAAAGTGCAAACCTCTGAGCTGGAAATCCTGTAATGCACAGCCTTAATTTCCAGCCCCTTCTAAGCAATGCTGTTGTTCCCAAATTGGATCAAATAAAAAAAAAAAAAAAAAAAAAAAAAAAAAAAAAAAAAAAAAAAAAAAAAAAAAAAAAAAAAAAAAAAATCCTGGTCCCCTTTTACCCCTGGTCCCCTTTTACCCTAAATCCTTGCACAAGTCAAGGATTGTTGAGGTTTTGGATATAGGCATGTTGTTTAATTCTTCTAGCAAAACACTTGTCCTTGAAACATGTTTCTAGAAGTCCTTGCTGTTTTGAGAAGGGGGTGTTTTAGACAAGCACATGGTCCTTGCCTAGCTAAAATGGGATCCTGATTTATTTCTGAACTGAATGGTTTTGATCACCTCACTTAAAATATGTTACCACCCTTTGGCTGGATCCCTCCCATCCCAGGAGAGATGAAGGAGCAGATGGGGTGAGGACTCCATAGCAGGTAGATGATGGGGGGTGAAAACAGGGTTCAGATCTGCTTTTCCAGAAAGCATCGTGCCCTAACAGCCTTGTCCGCTTCTCCTGTCCCTCCACGGTCTGGGCTTGCTGCATCTAAAGCCACGTTGTCCATCCCGGACCAGATGTTGAAGTTCTGGGGCTGTGCACAGGAGCTTCAGCATTAGGTATGTGGGTCCTGGGGAGCAGTCTGGCTCAAGGGGGTTGTTTGTTCCCGATGGCTTCAGCCATGCAGAGAGCCCCTGCTGTCTTATTTCTCACCGCAGCAAGTGGCACTGCTTGCACAGAGCATCCCCTCCTCCCCAAGTCCGGGCAGGGGGTGAAAGTGTTCCCAAACAGCAGTTTCTTCTCCATGGAAACTTCTCTTGCAAGTACAGCGCAGGCAGGCTTGGTTTTTTTCCAGAGAGCTTGTCCTTTTAAAGTACTTCTGTATATCTAAACTTTTCTGCTTCTGAGAGACAGGCAGCGGAGATAGGAGGGGAGAAGTAACTGGTGCCAGGAAAAGATTGCTCTACTGAAGGCACATTTGCAATGTTCCCAAATACAGCTGCTCAAATGGGTGTCTGAAGACCTTGGTGGTGAGGACCTGGCAGGAAAGATGAAGCAACAATTCCTTGCTGGAGTCTTTAATGTGATACCTGGATAGCAGCCCCCATCTCTGCTTCCATGCTGTCGGGCTGATGAGCAGCATTGCAGGAGCAGTGGTGGAGCATCTCGCAAGGCGTGGCTTGCTCAGACCGAAGCAGTCCCCAGGGAGGGGACAGCCCAGTTGGAGCAGGGTGGGAGGTGTGGTGGGACCGGTGGTATCCTGCTGCCCAGAAGCCTCCCTGCCACGTAGCCCTGCTTGGTGTTGACTGTGGCCAGCGGCCAGCTTTCTCTTCCCGTTTCCTCTGGCTTGGTCAGACACACTGACCTGGGAGGTGAGAGGAAAGGGAAGAGGGCAGTGATGGGTCCTGGGCACCCATATGCCCTATGAGGAGGGACTTGCCAGCACAGCCCTTTCCTCTGCTCCTAAATATTTCCAGGAACCTGCCCGCTCTTGTGTGGGAGCTGGAGGCTGCTAGAAAGCAGATACCCAACAGCCTCCACTTCCCAAAACTGTTGCCCAAAAAAAAGCATCCCTTGCTCAGGGAGGGCTGCCTGCAGGCTGCACATATTGCAAATCCCCTTGCCCTAGTGCAGCCCCTGGGTTAAAAAGAATGTCCCAAAGCTGGTGATGCCGGAAACGAAAACATCTGCGGCTGTGACAATGTGACCTCTGGAGGAATTCAGAAGAACGGAGCTTGTTTAGTTCAGAAAAGTGATGATGATACCAGCGTAGGCAGTGAGTGCGTAAGGGGTGTTTACACAGATAATCCCTTCTTCCTGTCCTCAGAGACTTAAATCTGGTGCTACCCATTTTCATGATAAGCACTGATACTATCAGCCCAACTTTTTTTCCCAGCTGCTGCCTTCCCCACCCAAGCAGGCGCTGGAGCCCATCGCTGTGTTTTCTGGCAGCTCCTGGAGCCATCCAGGCCTTTGCCCCTGGGGACAGGCAGGGCACCGCGGCTGCCGGCCGGGCCACGGAGTCAAGGATGCTGTGCGAGTGGCTGGAGGCTCCCAAAGGGCATGGCGGGGGACACCGACCTTGCAGCGGGGGGAGTGCATGCCCTTGCTAGGCGGGAGGGGAGCCTGCCCACCCCATGTGAAGCACCCATGGGACGTGGGCACAGGGAAAAGATGGTTGGTTAGCACATTGGCATCGTCTTACTCACTGGAACAGTGTTCAAGGCTGGGTGTCTTATCTTAACCCTTATCCAAACCAGCGCTAGCAGAGCTGAGTGATGGAAACCATGTGGTGCATGGAAAGCAAAGCCTCACGTGGCAATTGGTGTGGACGACTGGCATGGTTTGCTTTAGGGGAGATGCTGCATAGGGGGGTTGGTTAAAGCCTCCAAAGGTCTGCATGTGGGTTGGTTCATTCTCTTGCAGAGAGATGGTATATGTTGGAGCGGTGGTGGGGAGGGAACCCAGCTCACATGCTGGGGCAGCCAGGCCACGTGTCCCCAGCGTGCTGCACCGGGCCAGGTTTTGGTGGCCCTGTGGTGAGGCATTTTGGGATGAGGAAGAGAAATTTGGGGACTGTGATGTGCTGGGGCAGGGGGTGGATGCTATTGCCATAACCCCTTGGCTCTTGGCCACCATGCCCACATTGGGCGCAGGTGCTGGTCACCACCAGGGAGGTGGCTGTGGTGGGTGGGTGTGGGCACGGTTTGAGATGAGGCTGTTTCTCGGGATCCTGCAGTTTTAGGGAGATCCCCGCTGCTGGGCACTGCCCCATCCTTTTGTGATCATTGGTGGAGACCCAAGAGATCAGCAGCAAAGTCAGCTCCTTTCTGGAGTACTCTCCTGCTGCAACCGATGGGCTCAGGGGCAAGAAAAAGGCTTTTCCAGAGCGGTTTAAAGCAGAGAGTTCCTCATCTGTCCAAAAGATGACGCATTTCAGAAGCAAAAAGCAAAACAAGCCCTGTTGTCCCAGGCCTCCCCAGTTTCTCCAGCCTGGGTCTCGCCCAGGTGCCGTCCCTGCTGCCAGCCCCTGTCCAACCGCACCATTGCAGCCTTGGGGCATCGCTCTGCCGTGAGATTCACACTCTGTCCTCCCAGCCAGAGCACGGAGCTGCAGCCTGAAGGGGGACTTGGCATGAGAATCACTCTGGGTCTTGGGACCACAGTGCAACATCTGCCTCCACGTGCAGGCAGCAGAGATGCCCGAGTCCGAAAACCAAAGTAGAGCTGTGAATGCAGCAGTTTCTCCCCCCTGGAAGCTGGCTACAAGTGTTTTTATCCTTTCATGGGGAGCAAACCTACTGCGTTTGACCTTCAGCATCAGCCTCATGTTCCCTGATGCCTGCAGCGAGGACATGCAGTGCTTGGCCCGCAGCAGAGCTGCCACCAAGGGCTCTTCTTTAGAGGCCGAGCAATGACATTCACGTGCCTCAGCCTTGTTGTTTTGGATCCTCCAGCCTCTTGGCTGCCATTTCCCTTTTGCAAAGGAGCCCGCTGAAGGGTGGGGAGGGTCCTGGCCCCTGCCCCAGGAGCCTAGTGGAGGCGGGGGCTGCTCAGGGGCTGGCCGGTGGCCAGAGTGATGAGATGTGGTCTTTGGAGACCTCCTCCTCCATCCCTCCTTAAGGACAACCACTATGTCATCTTCCCATCCCCTTTCTGTCCTGCATCTCTCTTCCCATCTTTCCCGCTGCCCACCCTTTCTTTCTTGCTTTGAGCTGCAGGGAAGGGTATTTAGAAAGGCATGAGCTGGAAGTTAACCCAGGAAAGCTCCTTGCTCCTGTGCTGTCCCCTCTTCCCATGGCCCAAGCCAGCTCCTGGCTCATCCCCAGCCCTTCCTACCCTCGACGCAGCAGAGACGAGCACGAGAGGGGTGTCATGCTCAAAATCTTGCTATGGGCAAAAGGAAAACGCAGCCAAGAATTTATTATTAATATAACTGAAGTCTAAACAGTCAAAGAGTAGTTTTTAGCTCAGATCGAGATTGCAGAAAAGGAAAATAAAGCAATGAATGCTGTTGTACAGTACTAGTAATAAAGCTCTGCATTTCTTTAGCTGGTCCTTGGGGAGTGGTTTCTCGCCTTGGGGTCCCCAGCGCATTGCCTCACGCCTGCCCTGCCTCTCACCCGGCATCCCCACGCTCCCGTGTCCCTCTGGGCAGCATTCTTAGGGGAGAGTGGTGAATGCATTAATCCGCTGAGAAAACTGCCCCGTTACAGCTGGCTGTACTCAACCTCGGTGTCTCATACAAAGATGAGGAAATGAAAAATAAATAAAGCGTCGCCACTTGGCCATTGGAAAAATTACTTACTTGAGTCAAACCAAAGCTGCAGGCAGATTGAAAGGAGCTCAGGAGGTGCAAACCCCACCAGCCTCTCTCCAGAGGCCGTGCAAACTCAGTGCGCGGCCTGGGGTCCGACGCAGGGATTGGCAATGCCAACGAGCCCACCCAGCACTAACGACCGTGGCCCCCCCTGTGCCTGCCCCCCGTGATGGATCTGCAGCCCCGTGTTGGTGCTGCTAGGGGGAAATGAAAGCAACCAAATACGATGTGAGAGCTGATGGGTGGTTTTATTACAGGACATCTCGAAGCAGTGCCACAAAGGTGTGACATCCTCCATCCCAGGCATTTATCCCCACTGAACAGGGATAAATGAGGGTTTCAATGCCATCATTTTAACCCTTTCTTGGCTGCTTCTCCTGCCACTTCCCCCCCCTTTCCCTATTTTTTCCATCCATGCCAAGCGTATTTCTGCGTTAAGTCTCAGTGCACCGTGCCAGCCCAGCGTGGGGACCATCCCCGGGGCAGGGTGCTGCTGCTGGAGGGGTCAACCCAGCTTGGACCGGGCAGGGAAGCCACTGGTGTCCTTTGGAAGCAAAGCCTGCGGCGCTGGGGAGATACATCCCTTGCAGGGCACAGGCTCGGTCCCTGCCTCCACGGGCTGATGTGGAACAGCTGCCGGCTCCGCTAGCAGCTCCCTCCCGTGCACAAGAAGATCCCCGCGGCCATGCCCAGCAAGGCGAAGGTCCCCAGGATCAGGCCCAGCACCAGCGGGGCATGTGACCGGCTGCTCTGTTTTCCTGCAAGAGACGAGAGGGATGGAGGTGATGACTGGGGTCACCCCCACCACGCCACCATGTGTGTCCCCCCAGCCCCAGCACAGACCTGTCCAGGCGCTCTGAGCCTGCAGGATGCCAACGCAGGTGGTGTTGAGGAAATGCTGGAGGTCCCGGGTGGTCTTGGGGTACTTCATCAGCTCCCTCTCAGCAAAGGCAGCCACCGCTTCCCCGCCAGGCCAGCGCCGCTCCCAGGTGGCATTGGGGACGTGGAAGCTGAGGAAAGCCGTCCCGTTGAGGGTCACCTCATAGAAGCTGTGGGCCGTGCCATTGGGGAAGAGGTGGCAGCCCAGGCGGCAGCACAGGCTCTGGGTGTCTGCAGGGACAGAGGGAGGGGGTCAGGGCCAGCACATTCCCACCCTTGGCGGCCCATTGCCGTCACCAGCATCAAGCTGTGCATTGAGTTTGCAAGGGCTCAGCCTTGCACTGCCTGACCCACCCACAACTTTGTTTTCACTTAGTTTAGCTGCAGCGGCGACTTTTCCAATGGCCGAGCGGCTGTGCTTATTTTTTACTTCCTTATCTGTGTACAGCACAGCTTCAGTTTTATAGAGACGGCAGGTTTTTTGGTGTGGAGTGAGTTATTCATCACTCTCACAGAAGGATGTGGCACAGGGAGCGTGGGGCGAGGGGAGGCGTGGGGCTCATGCCAGAGACCCCTAGGTGAGAAAGTGCTCCCCAGGGGCCAGGTAAAGAAATGCAGAGCTGGGGCAAAACTGGTTTGGGGATAACAAAGAAAACGAAGGTAAAACACACCCTGCACAGGAACACTGGAGGTAATGTGGGCTTGCAGAGCAATGCAGGCAGGAACATGAAACCATCACCATCAGCATCCCACGCATCCCACGAAGGCTGCGGGGTGCAGGCAGGGTGCAAGGTGGATGCAGGCAGGGTGCAAGCAGGTTGAAGGCAGGTTGCAGGCAGGATGCAGGTGGAGTGCAAGTGGGGTGCAGGCAGGGTGCAGACAAGTGCAGGCAGGGTGCAGGCAGGATAAAGGCAGGCTACAGGTGGGGTGCAAGTGGGGTGCAGGCAGGGTGCAGGAAGGGTGCCTACACCTCACCACCCCCCCAGGCTGCAGCCCTCAGGCCTACTCCCCAAGGGGCAGCAGGAGGCTGAGCATCACCCTGTTCCTGGGGTGGGCTCCGAGTAAGAAATTCCTGGCTCCACAGAAGGGCTCCTTTTGCCCAGAGTGAGGTTTTGCACATGGCCGTGTTCCCATCCCTTTGCCCAGCTGTCCCTGGAGAGCCGTCCCTGTGCCCAGGCAGTGCAGGGTGGGCTCCCCTTCCCCAGTGGGTCCTGTCCCCCAGCGGGCTATGCGTCTCCGTCCCCGTGCCCCCCTGGGGTACCACTCACAGTTGATGGGCCTTTCCTTGCTGAAAAGCTTCACCAGCTGGTCGAAGTAGAGCAGGTAGGTGGTCACGTCCTGCTGCCGCCTGGCCCAGGCATCCGGGGGCTCCAGCGGCAGCACCTGAGTGACATTAAGCCCCTCCAGGAGATGACTGAGCCGCCCATCCAGGCTGGCGTTCCCCCAGAAGACGGAGCTGCCCTTGGAGACGCGGGTCCGTTGCAGCATGGTGAAGGTGAGCGGGGCTGCAAGAGACACCAGACATCACCCACTGCCCCGTCCCTTTCCTATGAGCCGTATCCCCCCCATACCAACCCCAAGTCTTGCCTGCCCTGCTGCCACCGTGTCCTTGCCTTACCTGCCTGGTCTGCCCCGCAGCCCAGGGCCCCGCAGAGCAGCAGCAGCCGGAGCATCGTGGGGACAGGGATGGGGACAGGAATGGTGGCCCCACGGCTGGCCTGGCAAGGAGTTAAGCAGGACCGGGGAGGTGGGGCTGCGGGAGGAGGAGAGTGGGAGTCTGGCCAGGTCTCTCCCATTTCCTTAGCCCGAGCCACTCACACCCCTTCCCTGCCGGACGTGCCGGGGGTGCCCAGCCCTGCAGCGTCCAGGGATGGTGATGCGGGATAAGGCTCCGAGCTCACCCCGGGGCCTGCTGGACGGCACGGCACCGCTCCAGCCGGTGGGGGAGAGAGTAGCCAGCGCCTGCCTCAGTTTCCCCATCCCTTGGTTGGGCAGGGGCCCCATCCCCGCTCCCCCCGAGTGATGCGGGAGGCCAGCAGGGACACAGTGGCAGGCGACCAGCCCGGGAGGAGAAGGGAGGGAGGGAGGGAGGGATGGAGGGGAGCAGCCTCGCAGCACCACGCTGCACCCGTCGGGGCCCGGGGAGGCATTCCAGTGCCGGTGCTCCCGGCAAGCGCTGGTGTGACGGGACCCCCATCCTCGGAGGGATGCGACCCTTGCGATGCGACATCCCCGCGGCCCTCGTAATGAGCTGGGCGGGGGGTTGGGACCGAGAAAACCCTGACTGGGCTTGCTCCGTATGTTTGTTTTTTAATTATACCTAAAATAATCATAGATTGCAATTTAAAAATTATAAAATTTATATTAAAATATCCAGCTTGTCCCGCTGGCACAGCGTGGCAACAGCCTGGGGCGGCACGTACCGGCACCGCACCACGCGCCATGGCACGGTACGGCATGGGATGGCGCGGGACGGCGCGCCACAGCCGCGGGGGGGGGC